TGACGTGATCAACATCTGTCAGGAAGCCCGGCTTTACCCTTGACCCTTGTTTCTCTAGAATCCCTGGTGCATCTGATCTCTGAAGTCACAATACCCAGGGCTGGGCCTGGGGCAGCTGTGTTTACGTCAAGCTCCTCAGGTGATTCCAGTGTTCAGCCAGGGTAAGAACCACTGCTCTAGGCCAGTGAGTAAATATGAGCCTGTGCTGCCACACATCTGACATAGAGGTTCATCAAGATCCTGCAGTCCCGGCCCTCCCGCAGCTGGCGTGCATCCATGCACTCAACAACTATTTATTGAGAACCCATTATGCATGCTCCAGGGATTGCTCCAGCTACTAGGGATGAGGCAGTGAGCAGAACAGACAAGAACCCCTCTCTGCTGAAGTGTAATTTTTAGCAGGGGGAGAGGAGGGGATAATAAAGAAAAAAATATATATAGTATGTCACATGGTGAAAAGTTCTAAGAAAACCAAAGCAGAGAAAAATGGTAAAGAATGTGTGCGTGCACACACATGTGTGTGTTGGGAGAGTAGATATTCAGAGGGGATGGTCACGAAGGAATCCCCAGAAGGTTGCATTTGTAGGAAAGGAGCAAGCCTTGAGGACATGGAGTGGGGGAAGAGCCTTCTAGGCAAACAAAAACTCAAGTGCAAAGATCCTGAGGTAGGAATGTATCTGGGATATCGGAGGAACAACACAAGGTCCATGTGGCTGGTGTGGAGTGAATAGGGAAACAGAGCAGTAGAAATTGAAGTCAGAGAGGTAAGCATAGGGAGGGAGGGACATCTGCCATCTCCACTTTTACCCACATACAAAAGTGAAACAAAAGTCTCATCATCAGGGTGGCTTTAGCCATCAGCCCAGTGGTGAAGGAGGGCTGAGAAAATGCCTTCTCAGACCCTGTCCATGCAGCTGGTCGCCACTTGACCAGTACTTAGGGTGTCCTAAGAGTGAGGCACCGCTCCTGAATAAATAATCACCCTTTACCTATTCACACATTTTTTGGGCAAAGGCAAGGCAGAGAACAGCTCTTGTCTCACAGAGCTTACTGTAGCCACACTCTGACACTAGAACGGGCATGGGTTTTCTTCACAATAAACTCGTGATCACCACGATTAGAAAGAGGTGCTGAAAAACAGAAAAAAAGAAAAATACATGGCAGGATCATAAACCCGAAATGCTCTTTGTCTGCCCTGAATTAAGGGAGGACACTTCCCAGAATCCTGCTTATTTGGAAAATTGGAAAATTCTAACAATCACCAGAAGTGGTTTTGTTTCTCTTAGACTTTCTCTTCCCGACTTCGCTCCACACCTAGAGCTGATCACAGTCCTCCAGCTGATTAGACTGGATTACACATCAGGAGAAAAAAATTAAGTGCATATTCCCCTGGATTGTGAAATACTCATTTAACATCTGTTACAGAAACTGACTTGCCCAGAGCGCTGTGCACCTCCCACTGCTGGGGCTCTGATGTCCTTTCTAAGGCCTAGGTCTTCTCCAGCTGCCCATAACCCATTCTGGGTCTCTTGCCCAACCTCTGTGTTAACAGGCTAGGGCTCAGGCTTTGGCTCTGTTCTGTTTGCAGACCCATAAACGAATGCTTTGTCCTCTCACCGAAGCTGTGCTGCAACCCAGGGATCAGGAGAGCATCCATGCACACTCTTCATTCGCTGATACTCTTTTCGAGTGCCTGCTGGATGTAAGACGTGATCCAGGGACCGAGGAGACACCAGTACGCAAAAAAGTAAGATAAGTGAATATAGGAGGGAAAAGTGGGGCTTACATTCTAGTGAGCAGACAGACCATAAACAAATACACGTGCACACACACACACATATCAGGTGGTAAGTGCTGTGAGAAAGGCAGATAAGCAGGTAGAGAATGACAAAGCATGTGGTGCTAGTTTAGAGCAATGGTCAGGAAAGGATACTTTAATAAGGTGATTTTTGAGCAGACACCTGGAAAATCTCACAGTAGAACCTTTCAGGCACAGAAAACATCAGAACCAAGGCTCAGAGGCCCAGATGTGCTTGTGTGCTGGAACAGCAGCCAGGAGGCCATGATGGAGTGAGCGGGGGATGAGATCAGATAGGTGTCAGGGGACAAGCTCAGAGGGAACTTTGTTGGCCAAAGCAAGGACCCTGAATTTATGCTATTAATAAGTGAGATGGAAGCCACTGCAGCCTTTGAGAGGGTCACCCTGGCTGCTGTGAGGACAGAGCAGAAGTCCGGCTAGGAGACTACTGCAGTGATCCAGGTAAAAGAAATGGTGGAGAAAGACATGTGGCAGACAAACAGGGGCCAGAAGTGCTAACGGAGGGCCTGCTGATTGATCTCGTCCCCACCCCCCTTTACTCTGTCTGTTGGGGAGGGAGGGATCATCTAGTGCTAGTGACAGAGGCCAGGCGAGGTGACCTGGCTTGACAGAAATAGAACATTTTTCATAGCAGACATTTTCATAAATACATTTCATTTTATAAAATCATTTATTTAAGAAGTTTATAAATTTAAATCCCTTAGGTAGCCTAGGTTAAAAAGTGCCTTACTTCTGAACTTCCCAGAGACGGCTGCAGCTTACTTTAAGAATAAAAAGAATAGCGGTTTTGGCAAGCCCTGTGCAACTTTTCCATTAAAATACCTAAATGCCGTATTGGACTTTGCTGCTTTTCACCTACTTTAGTTTCCTTCAATGAAATACAAGCATGCCCGTGACACATAAGTGGACCACAGTTGCATGGGAACAGCTGGGGTGACGTGGACCTACCTTGGGGATGCCTTTATAAATAACCACAAGTTGATGAGGAAATCAGCTCCTCCATAATCAGCTGAACCTTCTGTTGTGTGTTTTCAAAGTTAAAAATGTCAACTACCAGAGATCCTTACCTGGCCACTCCCCTGGACAAGCACAGCTACCCCTTGCGCATCCTAACAGTGTTGTTAGAGGAAGACTGTGACCTTTTTGCGTGGAGCCTTGTGGTGGTGTCTTGCCTGTCTGGCAATGAGGCCCCTCCTCCCTGGTCACTGACGACTGGCAACCTTGGAGGGGTCTTGAGGGGAAGAGCCCTAACTGGTGAGCTCGCTCCTCCCTCCCCTCTCCCTGCCATGTAGTTATTATAAAGGGCAACTTCTCATTTTAAAATCATGTGGTTTCAAGCGTATGGCAAACCTGGCAGACTGTCCCAGGCTCAGTGACTCCTGGTGACAGCCTGAGGAGACAGAGCCTTAGAAACGGCCCTGAAGCTCAGGAGCTTACAGTCAGTCCATTCACTCACCACGAATGAGGCATCGATCTTGGACTTGATCTTCTCATTTTATCCTTTGGAGACTTTTTTCCCTTTCAAAACAATCCTTACTGTTCTTCTTAATGTAATTTTATCGGAATAAATTCAGGGTAGGGAGAAAGGTAAGTATGGTTCACGTGGAGTGACTTGCTATAGGGATGGCCAGGTACGTGACAATAGATTAATTGAAACGAATCAGCAACCAATTCAGCCAGCTTTCCTCAGAGAAACCAATTACCACAAAATTATAAGTACCAGACATAGCCTTTAATTCTGATTGTTCAAAACAATCCTGATTTCTTCCAAATCACAATCTCTCAAATTAATAGTTTGGATTATAAGGTTTTATCCACTTTAAGGATACTTTATAAAGTACTTTACTGTGTTTCACACATTTCAAGATGTTTCTACATGGCTTTAGTGATTCTCAGGACAAACCCTCAGTAGGTACAGGTCCCCTAGGAATAAAAAGTTAACGTCAATGTGGGGAAAGAAGAATGCGGTACGGAGAGGTTAAGGCCAACGGCAAATGTTTACAAGGCCCGCACAACACACCGAGGGGCAGAGCCCACGTCTTTGTCAAATCCCTGCTTCCCACCTCCACCCCACCCCAAGAAAAAATTTAAGTCATGATTGAAAGAGTCTCTGGATATCAAAAAATCATGTGATGTATATACTTTCTAATAAACATTTTTAGGAATAAAAATACATTATTTTAAAATTTAAAAAATTACAAGGTAGTACTCCTATGGTGTCCATCTAAAAAGGTAACAAGGAACAGGTGAAATCAATCTTAATATGTTATTTAATTCAATATATCTAAAATATAATTTCAATGTGTAATCAATATAAAAACTATTAATGAGATATTTTACATTTTTTTCATGCTAAGTCTTCAAAATAACCAAATTTTGGTACCAAATACCAAAGTATTTTATTTTTTTTAAAAAATCATCATTTATTTTTTATTTTTTTCAAAGTAAAAGATTTTAATGCATCTCTGTGATTGTGAGACTAGATAGACACATGCAAAAAATTATTAAGGATATAGAATATTTGAATAATACAATTAACAAACTTGATTTAATGGACATATATAGAATTCTGTACTGAAAAACTGCAAAATGAATATTTTTTAGACATGTATGAAACATTTACAAAAATTAACCCTATATTATACCATAAATCGAACCTCAACAAATTTCAAAGACTTGCCAAATACCAATGTATTTTATACTTTTTTCTTTGTTGGATGCTAAATTTTCAAAGTACTTGCTCTGTATTTAGATTTCATAAAATTTATAGTTGAAAAAGTAGATTCACATACTTAAATTATTCCAAGCATACTTAAAAGTTTTCTAATAACTAAGTTGAGAATTGATATTTAAATTAAAATTTTTTTTTTTTTTGAGACAGAGTCTGGCTCTGTTGCCCGGGCTAGAGTGCCACGGCATCAGCCTAGCTCACAGCAACCTCAAACTCCTGGGCTCAAGCGATCCTTCTGCCTCAGCCTCCTAAGTAGCTAGGACTACAGGCACGCGCCACCATGCCCGGCTAATTTTTTCTATATATTTTTTTTTTAGTTGTCTGATTAATTTCTTTCTATTTTTAGTAGAGACGGGGTCTCGCTCTTGCTCAGGCTGGTCTCGAACTCCTGACCTTGAGCGATCCACCCGCCTCGGCCTCCCAGAGTGCTAGGATTACAGGCGTGAGCCACCTCGCCCGGCCTAAATTAAAATTTTTAAAAACTAAAAATTTAGTTCTTCAGTTGTACTAGCCACATTCCACGTGCTCAAGAGTCACATGTGGTCAATGGCTACACTATATGGGACAGAGCTGATGTAAACAGCCACAAGCATGTTTGCATTGGGTGTTGTATTAACATAACGGCATTCAGAGCAGACTGTCTTTAATCTCTTCGCAAAATGAAAGAACTTTCTTGTAGCTCAAACTGTCCACTGTTCTCATAAACATTTTATAAACAGTTGAAATGGTTCTTAATAACATTTTCTCATAGGATGCCATGTTTTCTAGTAAACTTTAAACTGCATTCAGATTTTATGCATAAGTGCTTCCCGTTGAATTATGAAGAGGTGTACAATTATATGAATTCTAAAACAATTCCATCAGTCATGCTTCTCTCCAGTACAAACATTAGTACAAAGTATTAAACCAACCCTTAAAAAGACAGTCCCATTCTATTGTTTCCAAAATAAATGATGAAATGTTTCTAGAATTATTTACTTACATGGAAAATTCCTGAAAATCAAAAAGTGAGAATATTTTTATGCCTATGATTTAGCTCTTCAGTTTACTTCATGATCTCTTTACATGTTATATTTAAAAAGTAAATGCTGAACCACTTGGGCACTAGACTGAATGACAACAGCGATAGAATTTCTTGTTTAACTTAAACCTGTGCAATCCTTGAAATTATAAAACCCACTCATCAAAATAGATGCTAAAATCTTTACCACAAGTAATTAACCCGGTGCTCAAACTGCTGCAAAAATATGAGAGTCAAATGTTGGAGTCAAGTTTGTATAAAGGAGAGTTTTGGCCTGAGGGATGTGGTGGTGTCACTCTCCTCACATCTTGGCTGTCAGTCCTCTGGCTTGGTCCCGCAGTTCCATCTTTGCGATGGCTGAGAGGTGGACTTCATCAGGCCCATCTGCTAAGCGCAAAGTTCTAGTGAGGGCATACCTGAAAAAACAAAAAAAGAGCAGGATCATGGGAGCTATCAAAGAGGAACATGATAATATCAGTCACTCTGATTCTAAGCCAAGACTATATTAATTCGTGAAATCCTGTCAAAGTAGGAGAAGGAGTACAAGGAAAATAAGCCAAGGGGCTTCTGAAATACTATTTTATTTATTTACTTATTTATTTATTTTTATTTATGTTTTTTGAGACAGAGTCTTGCTCTGTTGCCGGGCTAGAGTGCCACAGTGTCAGGCTAGCTCACAGCAACCTCAAACTCCTGGGCTCAAGCGATCCTCCTGCCTCAACCTCCCAAGTAGCTGGGACTACAGGCGCACGCCCCCATGCCCAGCTAATTTTTTCTATTTTTAATAGAGACAGGGTCTCACTCTTGCTCAGACTGGTCTCTTACTCCTGAGCTCAAGTGATACACCCACCTTGGCCTCCCAGAGTGCTAGGATTACTGGCGTGAGCCACTGCACCTGGCCGAAATGCTATTTAGAGTTCCAACTTGGGAAACTTAAATGGCAAAGTACAGTGGGGTTAATCTGGTTCTTGGTTTGTCACAGGTTACCAGAAGTTGCTAGAATTTAGAGATCTCTTAGGTAAGCTCCAGGAAGTGAATGGTTTGATACTATATATTTAGTTCTTTCTTAAGATTAAAAATTGATGAGGCATGAGACTATCTCCAGTATGATACACAAGATGACACTAGACTGTGTGGAGATGGAAGGCTGGGGAGTGGAGAATGTTCCTTCTTGCCCCCCAGTAATCAGAATCTGGATATAATATAGTCGCTGGTATGTACTGCTGTGAATTCAGCTGCAGCCTCCCTGTGTGGGTAGTAAACTGTCCTAAGTGCACACAGCCTGGCTCTGGGTCCCCTTTGGCTGTCTCTGCACCACTCCCTCCCTTCTGATTCAGAGCAGAACCCCATGCTGCATCTATAGCCCGGAACCCTCGGTGGGTCCCCTCAGCGTAAAAGTTAACATAATAGAGTGAAGTGATGATTATAATCATAAGAGCAACTATTCTTGGTGCTGAACTCTATATTAAAGTACCTCTAACACTTCCTTTAGCCTTCAGTTACACTTTAAAGTAAGGTAGTATCTTTTATCTATAGATTTTTTAACTCTAAGCCTATCAAATGTAGATGGTTCTTTTTTTTTTTTTTTTCTTCTCTGAGACAGGGTCTTGCTCTGTCACCCAGGCTAGAGTACAGTGGCATCATCATAGCTCACTGCAACCTCAAACTCCTGGGCTCAAGTGATCTTCCTGCCTCAGCCCCCTGAGTAGCTGGGACTAGAAGCGCCTCCACCATACCTGGTTAATTATTCCATTGTTTGTAGAGATGAGGTCTTGCTCTTGCTCAGGCTGGTCTTGAACTCCTGGCCTCAAGTGATCCTCCCACTTTGGCCTCCCAAAGTGCTAGGATTATAGGCATTAGCCACTGTGCCTGGCTATCAAATATAGATGGTTCTTAAATAACATCTACTCACATGTTAGCCAGAGGATAATCCTGGGAAACGCCAGCTCCTCCACACACCTGGATGGCCCGGTCTATAATTTTGCAGACAGCCCGTGGGGCAGCCACTTTGATCATTGCAATCTATATGAGCAAGATATGAAAAGAATGCTTGTTTCTTAGACTACACATAATGTAGCAGAATTTGATATAATCTGGATTTTCTTTGTAAAACCAAACAAAAATTTTCCCATGCCCAAGTCACTACTAAAACAAGATCTTTGATGAAAGCCAACAAAGAGATCCTGCTGTAATGCAGTTAATGGCCATATTTCAGTCAATACAGACCCTCTGGGAAGAGATATTTCTTCCAGACATGTTATTTATTTATTTATAACTTGCCTCATTTCCAAGAGAATGTCAGGCAGCTGATAAATCACACTTATCACCATAGGATCATAAAAAAAGTTCAAGGGTCTATGCTCCACAATCAGTTTTCTTTTAGCAATTTTATAGGTTTTTAGAATTAAACAGTTATGTCCTTATTCCATATAAGCCAGAAACCTAAGAGGGCAGGGGACAAGAGGTACCTTTTATGAAACATTCGCTATGTGGCAGCTTCATGCTGAGCATTCTATATACATCATCTTGGTTACTCTTCACAAGAACCCTAGGCCATAGGCAGAAAGGTTAGGTACTTTGCCCATGGGCACGAGGCTAGCAGTAAGTGACATAGTGGGTACAACTAATTCCAGGTCTGCATAAAGCCTAAGATTTCCCTACTCTTTGTTGCTGTATCTCAAGAATGCTGAAGATATGCTGCATCCCGAAAATCATTCCCTATAGCAGCCTAGTGAAAGGAAAACTAGCAAGTGACGGACATTTATAATCTTTAAGCCAAAATCACATGGAGCTTCCAATATTCTGAGTGCCATCAAGGTACCACGAAAAGTGAAATGCCCGATGGGTGGGAGAAGTGGAGGAGGCTCAGCAATTGGTGGTCCGGGGTGGGGGGAGTCTCACCTCCTTCTTAGCGCCAGCACTGCCCAGAGTGTCTATGCTGTGGGCGGCTTTCAGCGTCAACAAGCGGATCTCCTCAATGGCAATGCGGCTTTCAGCAATCCAGTGAGCCACAACCTCCTGCAGGGGAGCAACAGGCAGCAAAAGGAAGGAGGAGCTAAGGCACATCTGATATCCACACGTAACACAGCCTGTCTAGTGAACACACTCTGTAGGCTAAGGATTGTTCACGAGCCTTACTTGATATATTTTTAAAAATGGAAGAGTTAATTCATTTGATATATACCAGCCTAGCCACATACCGGTGGAATGTTACAGTTAAAATTAGAAGACTTTAGGAAGGAATTTTATTTGCTCAGGAAAATCATTTATTTTGGATATCTTAATGTCAAAGGTCAAGATGGCTGGTGTGAGCAACTGTCTTGTTGCCAAAGCACTCCTCGCTGGCCCTCATGAATGCCAATCGTATGCTCTCATCAAAACTCGGCTAAATGCATGGTAGTGGAGCTGCTTATCGACAAACTAGGTAAGGCTCAGCACAGTTTCAGTGTGGGGATGATCCAGCAGTCCTTCGTGGTGTTGTTACTGTTATTTACTAAAAGTGACCATTTTATTTGGTTCTATGAATTTTAACACATGTATACATTGTTATAACCACAATCAGGGCACAGAACTGTTCCATATCCCCACAGAACTCGCTGGTGCTGCTCTTTTTTAGTCACACCCTTCTCTCATTGCTAACTTTTGGCAACCATTGATAGGTTTGGCCATCACCAAAGTTTTGTCTTTTCCAGAATGTCATATAAGTGTAATCATATAGCATGTATTATTTTTATTTTTATTTTTTTTTAGAGATGAAGTCTTGCTTGTTGCCCAGGTTAGACTCAAACTCCTGGGCTCAAGTGATCCTCCCACCTCAGTCTCCCAAGTAGCTGGGACTATAGGTGTGCACCACCACACTCAGCAATATAGCATATATTCTTTTAAGACTGGCGTCTTTCACTCAGTGTAATGCCTTTTGAGTTGCATCCAAATTGTTCCATGTGTAAACTATTCATTCTTTTTTATTGCTGAGTAGTGTTCCATTGCAGGGATATATCACAGTTTGTTTATCCATTTCCTTGTTGAAGGACCTTTGTGTTGTTCCCAGTTTTTGATTATTAATAGAGCTTCTGTAAACATTTGTATATAGGTTGTGGTATGGACATACATTTTCATTTTTTAAAGCGGACACCAGGAGTGGAATTGTTGGGTCAGTGGCAAATGTTTATATGAAGCTGTCAAACAGTTTTCCTGAGTGGCTGTATGTTTTGCATTCCTACCAGTAATGTATGAGAGCTCCAGTTGCTCCCCAAACTTTTAGCACTTGGTATTGTCAGTACTATTTTATTTAGTCATTTTAACAGTATACAGAGATATCTTATCAGGGTTTTAATTTGGATTTCCCTAATGGCTAATGATGTTGATCCCCTTTTGAGGTGCTTATCTGTCATCTCTATATCCTCTTTGGTGACATGTCTGTTCATGTGTTTTGCCCATTTTTTAACTGGGTTGTTTGTTTTCTTACTGCAATTGACCCTTGAACAATGTGGGAGTTAGGGGTACCGATGTCCCACACAGTCAAAAGTCCAAGTATAACTTTTGACTCCCCCAAATCTTAACTACTAACAGCCTACTGTTGACTGGAAGTCTTACCAATAACATTAAAAGTTGATTAACACATATTTTGTTTGTTATACATAGTGTATTCTTATAATAATGTAAGCTAAAGAAAATGCTATTAAAAAATCATAAGGAAGAGAAAATATATTCACTATTCATTAATTGGAAGTGGATCATCATAAAGGTCATTGTATTCATTGTCTTCTCATTATCCTGGGCCATAAAACAAACCTCAAGAAATTTAAAAGAATTAAAATAATACAGAGTTTGTTCAGTGACCACAATGAGATTAAACTAGAAATAAATAACAAAAAGAAAATAGGAAAATTTCCAAACCACTTGGAAATTAAGTGACACACTTCTAAATAATCCATGAATCAAAGAGGAGTCTCAAGGGAAATTAAGAAATGTATGGACCTGAATGAACATGAAAATACAACATTTCTAAATTTGTGGGACACAGGTAAAGAAGTGCTGAGAGGGAAATTTATAGCACTAAATGCTTACATTAGATCAAAGGAAAAGTCTCAAATCAGTAATCTGTGCTCCCTACCCACCTCAAGAACCTAAAAAAAGAAGAGCAAAATAAACCCAAATAAAGCACAAGGAAATAATAAAGAGCAGACGTAAATAAAATTGAAAACAAAAAAATAGTGAAAATTAATGAAACAAAGATCTTGTTAATGTTAAGACCTAACATATCAATTATTATATTGTATAATTTTATACATTAATTTATTCTTTTAAAAATCAGTACAATTGACAGGCCTCTAGCAAGACTGACAAAGAAAAAGGAGACATGAATTACTAATATCAGGAATGAAACATGTTGATATGACTGCAGACCCTGCAGACGTCAATAGACTAATACTGTGAACAACTCTAAACACATAAAGTTGACAGATTTAGACAAAATGGACCACCCCCTCAAAAACCACAAACTACCACAACTCATCCAATATAAAATAGCTAAAGTGAAGAGCCCCAGAACTATTAAGGAAATTGAATTTAAAATTTAACACCCCCTCCCCCTAAATCTCACTGGAGAACTCTACCAAATGTTTAAAGAAGAATTAATGCCAATACTAGATAATCTCTTTCAGAAAGTAGAAGAAGTGGAACACTTTCAAGATTATTTTGTAAAGCTAGTGTTACCCTGATACCAAACCTAATAAAGACAGTACAAAAATAAGACAAAACAAGAGACCAACATCCCTCATGACTACATATGCAAAAATCCTTATTCAGCAATATATAAAAAGAATTATATACCATGACAAAGTGGGATTAGTCCAATGATGCAAAGTTTGTTCACCATTTAGAAATGATCAGATAAAGTAGAATCAATGTACTCCACAATAATAATAAGGTAAAGAATAAAAATTCCATGGTCTTAAAAATTAATGCAGAAAAAGCATCTGTCAAAATTCATTGCTCATTCAGGATAAAAACTCAGAAGACCAGTTGTCAAGAGAAACTCAATTTGATAAAGAACATTTACAATAAACCTATAACTAACATAATTAATGTTCCCCTAATATCAGGAACAAGGTTAGGATGTCAGCTCTCATCATTCTTATTCAACATGGTGCTGGAAGTTCTAGCTAGTGCAATGAGGCAAGGAAAGGAAATCAAAGGCATACATATTAGAAAGGAGGCAATAAAACTGCCCCTTATTTGCAGATGACATTATTTACAAAAAAACTCCTGGAACTAATAAGTTCAACAAGGTCACAGGACACAAGATAAACACAAAAACTAACACAGGATATAAGATAAACACAAAATCAATTATATTTCTATATACTCATAATGGAAACATAGACACTGAAATTAAAAACAATGCCATTTATAATTGTTCAAAAAATTGAAATACTTACATATAAGACTTGTATGCTGAAAGCTACACATAGATGATGAAAGAAACCAAGAAAAGCTAAATAAATAAATGGAGAGACATACCATGTTCATTGAATAGAAAACTCTAATTGTTATCAATATATATCAATTCCTTCCAAACTGACATATAGGTTTAACACAATTCCTATCAAAATCCCAGTAAGATATTTTTGCAGATATAGCCAAGATTATTTTAAAAATTGTATGAGGAGGCAAAGGAATTAGAATAGCTGAAAAACTTTTGAAAGAAAAGACTAATGTAGAGGAATCAGTCAAGCTTATTTAAGACTAATTATATAATTACAGTAATCAAGACTGTGGTGTTGGCACAGAGACACACACATAGATAATTAGGACAGATAACCCAGAAAAACACCCACACAAATATGCCTGACTGATTTTTGAGAAGGTCACGAAAGCAATTTAATGGAGGAAAGATAGTCTTTTCAACAAATGTTGCTGGAGCAATTGTATTACACAGGCAAACAACAATAACAACAACAACAAAACACACACACACACACAAAAACCTTGATCTAAGTCTCATACTTTATATAAAAAATTAAGTTGAAATGTATTGCAGACTCAAATGTAAAACGTAAAACTTTTAGATATAAATTATAGAAGAAAATCTGGATATAGGACTGGGCAAAGTGCTCTTAGACTTGATACGACTAGCATGATCTATACAAGAAAAAATTGACAAATTAGAGTTCATTAAAATTAAATACTTTTGTTCTGTGAAAGACTCTATTAAGTGGATGAAAAGACAAGCTACAGAGTGGGAGAAAATATTTGCAAACCACATAGCTGACAAAGGGTAGTATCTAGAATACATAAAGAACTCACAGAATTCAATAGTGAACAGAACGTAGACAAAAGACATGAACTGAAGAGCAGCAAATAAGCATAAAAAAAGATGTTCAACATGATTTGTCATTAGGGTAACATAAATTAAGGCCACAATACGATATCACCACAAACGTATCAGAATGGCTAAAATAAAAGAATAGTGACACCACCAAATTCTGGAAGGGATGTGGAAAGACTAGATCACTGATACATAGTTGATGAGAATGAAAAGTAGAAAAGAGTTTGTTGGTTTCTTAAAAAACTAAATATGCAACTACCATATGACCTAGTAATTATACTCTTGGGCATTTCTCTCAGAGAAATGAAAACTTACGTTCACACAAAAACCTACACAAAATGTTTGTTTATTGCAGCTTTATTTGTAATAGCGCAAAACTGGGAACAACCAGATGTCCCTCAACAGGTAAACAGTTAAACAAACTGTAGTTCATCCATATCAAGGAATACCACATGAGAATGAAAAGGAACCAACTAAGGATACACACAACCTGATGAATCTCTAAAGAATTAAACTGAGGGAAAAAGCCAATCCTAAAAGTTTGCATACTGTAAGATTCCATTCTTGGAATGACAAAATTATAAAATGAAGAACACATTAGTGGCTACTAGAAGTAAATGAGGAAGTGGGGTGGGAGCAAAGTGGGTGTGGCTATAAAAGGCAACATGAAGGATCCCTGTAGGGGTGGAAATGTTCTGTATTCGGCTGTATCAATGACAACATCCTGGTTCTGATATTGTGCTACTGTTTTGCTAGATGTTACCATTGGGGGAAACTGGGTAGAGGGTACAAGAGATCTGTTATTTCTTATACTTGTATGTGACTCTACAATTACCTCAAAATAATTTCATTTGTTTAATGAAAACAAATTGGTACTTGCTTCTCTTTTAGCTTAGAGAACACTCTCTGAGTTTTCCCTATTTGTCAGAACTTGGAAGAAAAGAGAGGAGGTAAACAGAAGAATACGTAGGGAAATCAAACCCACCATAAATCTCACAAGTAACCAAACATTCAGAATTCAGCATTGAAACCCAGGGGAGATACTAAATGCTTCTGGTTGACTGTAATGGGTATTTTGATTTCAAATTCTAAACATATAATTGGTGTTTACATGGAGAATAATTTTTGTTAAGATGAGTCAGACCAGTAGACAATTATAGTGCTTTGATTCAAGCCACATTAACCTTCCACAGCCATTTTTATGCTTGGTCATCTTTGCTCTTCAACAGGGGATATTTGATTAGAGTTTCTCTAGAGCAGTTATGTTTGATGTGATAGCCACTAACCACATGTGGCTGCTGGGCATTTGAAATATGCGTAAGCTGAACTGAGTTGTACTACAAGTGTAAAATATACCGATTTTGAATAATAAAAGAATGTAAAACATATTCATTAGTAATATTTTTATATTGATTTCATGTTGAAATGATAACATTTTGGATGTACTAGATTAAATAAAATACATTCAAATTAATTTGGTCTGTTTCTTTTTATTTTTTTTAAATGTTGCTACTAGAAAATTTAAAATTACATTGTGGCTCACGGTGTATTTCTATTGGACGGCTCTGTCCTAAAGGTTAAAACATGGCTCTGAATTAACAATTTCAAATAAGCTGCCAGCAATCAATGAATATTTTTTGGTGGCTGTAAAACTGGTTATAACTTCATGAACAGAATCAAAATGCATTTACTTAGCAGCTTTAGAATAAAGGACGTGTTCTCAGCTGGGTCTCCACACATCGCTAGATTTGCTGAAAAGCACTGAGTGGGTAGAAACTAAGTGTTCTAGGGAACTGCCAGATTTATTTACTAAGCCAGAACTTTGATTGAGAACTTTTTGCTTTAGAGCCTGGAAAAATTTAGAACGCAGCTGGAAGGAGTCTCCAAATTCAGGGAAATGGAATATTCCTTTTACAAATTGGAAGAAAAAAAAAAAGCTGGCCCACATTCTTGTTTATGACATGTTCATACATCTCTTTTTGCTTCTGCCAGATGATTTCATTTGTGCCAGATGTGAGAAGTTTCTAGTGAAGAAAGACATGTTTTGAAAAAGCCCAGGCTAGCTCTGCATGACACATTAAAAGGCAGGAGGGAAATGTTTCTCTAGTATAGTATTAAAATACCAGTCATGAAAGCAGCACCCAGGCAGTGTGTTTTTGTGCATTCAAGATGCCCGTCTGCCCACTGTACTGTGTCCTCTCAGCACCCTGCTCCAGGGTTTGCATGACAAGCTTGAATAGAGACGAGGAGAAGAAGTAATGGTCGGTGCCATGAGCAACTCCGGTCCCTCTTCAGGAATGGCAGGAGCTGTATCCATGGCCCAGAAGGTCACACTATCTCACCTCTTCCCATCCAACAGCAGAACCCTTGCCCTCACCATATACTAAAGAGGTTCCCCACAAATTAGTCCCAGGTGTGGTGTCAGAGAGCAGGCCATATTGTTTCATAAAAACAATGATATGAATAAATCATATATATGCTGAATAATACTTCACAAAAAGCAAACATAGCATATAAGAATTTGAGGTAAAAAATATACTGTAGGGGCCGGGTGTAGTGGCTCATGCCTGTAATCCTAGCACTCTGGGAGGCCGAGGCAGGTGGATCACTTGAGCTCAGGAGTTCAAGACCAGCCTGAGCAAGAGAGCGACACATCTCTACTAAAAAAAATAGAAAGAAATGAGTTGGACAACTAAAAATATATAGAAAAAAATTAGCCAGGCATGGTGGCTCATGCCTGTACTCCCAGCTACTCCTATACTCCCAGCTACTCCTGTAGTCCCAGCTACTCTAGGCTGATGCCATGGCACTCTAGCCCAGGCAACAGAGTGAGACTCTGTCAAAAAAAAAAAAAAAAAAAAATTGCAAAATTTTATAAGGTGGTCATAAATGTAGTTTACAAGGAGACCAATGTACTAAAATATACATGTCCAACAAACACAAACACGATTCTATCACAAGTTTGACCTCACACTAACATGTTAGCAATCATAAATATTAAATATTTAATAATTCTTCTTGCCTTCATTCTTTCATTCACTCATTCATTTGTTTATTTGAGACAGGGTCTCGCTCTGTCACCTAGGCTGGAGTGTAGTGGCATCATCATAGCTCACGGCAACCTCAAACTCCTGGGCTCAAACGATCCTCCTGCCTCAGTCTCCTGCGTAGCTGGGACTACAGGAACATGCCACCACGTCCAGCTATTTTAAATTTTTTTTGTAGAAATAGAGTCTTGCTATGTCACCCAGGGTGGTCTCAAATTCCTGGCCTCAAGTGCTCCTCCTGCCTTGGCCTCCCAAAGAGCTGTGATTACAAGTGTGAGCTCCTTTGCCCAGCCTTCCCTGACTTCTTAAAATTTAGAAGGGGGATGATTTGAATATCCCTCTTCACTGTAAAAGGCTTTCCAAGGAAGTCTGAAATGATACCTTATTTTTCTTCTCAATCCATATTTCCTAATTTTGATTATATTGCCCACATGTAACTATGTTTACAGTGCTTTGTAAACAACAGACTCAGCAGTATATAATTTATAGATGAAAATTCAAAAATCATGAACATCCCACCATGGCCCCATTTCTACTTGGATTTCTCCAGTGATAGGGAACTCAATTCCTCCCAAGGCAGTCCATTCCATTTTTAAATCTCTCTAACAGAATGTTCCTCCTTTCCCTGTATTTTGGGCTGTTTTCCTATATCTTTACACTATCTGTTCTAATTCCTTCTAGGAAACCAAAAGACAAGGCAAATCCCTCTTCCTTATGACAGCCTCTTCATGTCTACAGAGAGAGCTCTAAGGTGTCAAGTTTTCTAGAGAATGAGAATCTGAAAAAGTTGAAGGAATTGTCCACACTCTTGTGTGCTGAGGTGTTGAAGCGCTTTAGAAGTTATTTAATCTTTCATGGAGATAAATACCTCTCATCAGACTACATTTAAATACAGACATAAATATGCTTTATGGAAAAGAATCAGTTGTTCATGTAGAGGAAAACTTTCACTAGGTAGTGGTTTTGTTCAAGGTTAGTACACTGAGCTATACAAAATCCTCATAAGTAATCATCCTTACATGTGCATACAGTTTCTTCTTAAAGGCTACCCTTTGTGATGCCCGTTCACACATGATCTGCAAAGCATGTTCTGCCAAACCGACTGTTCTCATACAGTGGTGGATTCTGCCAGGTCCGAGGCGGCCTTGGGAAATTTCAAATCCCCTACCTTCACCTGTGAGAAAGGGAAACAAACGTGAAAACGGTCCAGCCCATTCCTTGTGTTAGTCACACAAATCCTCGGAAAATAATGAGCTGCCCTCAATAAAAATGGCATTCTGGTGAGAAAAAAGTCAGTTCTATAATGAGCTTCATTATGTATTTATGAGAATTTTGGTTTCTGTTTTAAAAACTACCATCATTAAATATTTCAATCAAATGTAAGAACTGTCTCTTGAGCTACTTTATTAGTGCAACAGTTACAAAGGTGGATAAGACACAGTCCCAACACCGAGAGTTAAAATCCAGAAGAGGGGGCAAGGATAAGGGCTATAGAAAGAAACAAAGAACGAAAGAGGAGGAAGAGATTTTCTGTTTGTCTTGTAACCTTATGGCCCCGCAGGTGTTAGTAGTGGCTTGTTGTGTGGATGGGGTGAGAAACAAAAGCATTCCTGAGAGGTAGTATTTTGAGAGGTTCTTTGAAGGTTGCATAGAATTCTAACAAGCAAGAGGATAGAGTCATTCCAGGCACATAGTGTTCAGAGTTATTTATGCTTCTAACTTGTATACAAGACTTGAATTCAGAAAGTACTGAGGTTTTCTTAAAACAAGCAGAGGCCTACAGATCTTGTTTTAGGAAAAAGTGTGTTGCTCTGAATTGTATAATTCATATATTTAGTCATGTTTTCAATTGATGTAATATACAAAGCCACATCCAACACTTAAATAAAACCTTACTATTCCATATAGGAAAATCCACAAAATGGAAAACTTGTCCTTGATAAATGGAGTAAACAAGAAAGGAGAGTATCTAAATTAAGGTAGACTGCATATCTTTTCCAGATTTAGACCTGAAAATATTAATATACAATACTGGCGAATCATTTGTACAAATTTATCTCACCTAGTATTAAATTGGTGGCAGGAACTCGTACTTGATTAAAATGGATCTCAAAATGTCCTCCATGAAAATTATCTATAAAATAGAAAAAAAATTTTAAAGAGCAATCTGAGTTGACCAAAAAAGTCACATGTAATTAGTCTGCCAAAGTATAATTACTCAAAGAAAGTGGGATTTAAAAGACTCCTTTGTCAAGAACATTCCTAGGTAGACCTCAGCCCAGAACCCATAGCACCTAGTAGCCCAGAAAACTCATCCACTGTTCAAGTTAGAGAGATTTTAGAATCATTTGATCCAGAGGGTTTCTAATTCATTCTCTGAAGTTGTAGAGCTACGAAAAAGAATGACTGGGCTCCACAGCTCCACCCAGATTATTTTATTATTGTTTTATTATTGCTTCTGCCTTGAAATATTTTATATATGGGATTCCAAATTGCAAAAAAAGTTTTGCATGGGAAAAGAAAATTTTGCTTGGAAAAAAAAAGTTTTAATGTTTCAAAAATTGAAAGTGAGTAGTGTAAGTTGAATTTCTTATTTCTGTCATGGAAACTAATGCCTGAATATGCACAGGGACCGCCTGAAGGGACAGAGCAAGTTCAGTGTTAGTGACTATGCTGAGACTGGACCTTCAGGTAGGTTTACTTTCAGTCCATACTTGTTCTGCCCTATGTCTGCCTCTTGAAAATGCTGATGTTTGAATTACTGAGCCTGGGAACACATTCACACTTTCATCTTTGTATCACCCTTCTCCTCGCCAAATTCTAGAGATAATCTCATGCTGACTCTACACCCTTTTCCTGTCAGAATAGACATTAATAATCAACCTTCTCCATACTGTTTCTTTTGGCCTTGAACATAGGGCATTGGAAACATGCTGGTGAATTTTTCATACTGAAAATGCAAAGGTAGGCTCTGCAGTGGATGCTATTTGCAGCTGAACAATATTATAAATCCATTTTTGGTCTTTTAGGCCATAGATCTGCAACCCAACAATTTCTCTTGTGCACTTTGCTCCACTGAGCTTGTTCATCCTATCTTGCCACCTAAGCTTAATGTGTGGGTACATCTTAGAGCTGCATCTTACAGAAGGTAAAGATGTCAAACGTTCTATGAAACTGCAAGTCTTATTATCTGCCACTTGAACATATTCAGTAGTCATATTCAATGATATAGAGAAAGCCAGAGGCACCACAGAACCTGAAGTTCAATCAACTTTTTCAAAGCATTTACCACCTGACATGCTATGTAATTTACTCCTTTACATGTTCGTAGTTATTACTTGTCTCCTTTACCAGCATGTAACCTCCGTGAAGGCAAGAGTCTTGGTCTGTTGTGTTCACTAATGCATTCCAAGCACCTAGTAGTACTCAGTACTCAATAAATACTTGCTGAGTGGATGACCTGAGTAGCATGGACACAATAGACATGTGCCTAGGGAGGGTGGCAGGAAAGAAAAGAATCCTTGCTTCTTAGAAATTCTACTCAAGGGCATAAGGAAAAGTCTGTATTCAAATAAGTCAAAACTCATTGCTTATTAACAGTTCTTACAGGTTGACTGAATAAGAAAGCTAAACTTGGAGATAAAAATAAATTTCATTGTAGATTACCTAGATTTAATTTATCTATATCTATTTCATTAATTCATTATCATGGATGACAGAGAGAAGACTGCCAGAGTTGCTGTTCCTTAAATACAATCTGCCCTTTCCTGAAAAGTAAATGAAATGAGGTAGAATGCTGTACTAGCTCTTTTTATTTGCTCCATTCTGAAATCCACTGGCATTTATATTAAGACTGTTGTCAGAAGCAAGGAGATTTCTAAGAATTCATCTCATATATTAAAATGCTATCTATTCCCTTCAATGTTACTGCATATCCTAGTCTTCTTGCTTGCTAATGCATGGGCATATTTATTGAGTACTTACCCAGATAGCCAAAAACTGACAGAGGCCTTATTATTTCTACTCCAGGTGTGTTGATAGGAACAAGAACCATGCTGTGTTGTTTGTGTCTAGTCAAAAAAAAAAAAAAAACAAAACAGTGTTAGGAAAAGTTAGTTGCTCAGCAGAAAAATAAAACAGATTCAGGCAAAGTCTCAATCCCAATCATGTCTTTGTTGCTGTTGTTGTTATCATGCAATCATACAAGAAATGAGGGCTGGAATGGAAACTATGTAAAAGACACACATCGCGCACAGTCTGATGCAGGCTGTGATTGGGAACAAAAAAATGATTTGAAAATAAGTGAAGTTGTTTGAGGTTTCTCATTGCTCAACAATGATAACTGGGAACTGATATACAAAATGAAACATTATGAGATTATTGCATTGATCTAACTATCTAATTACTTTATTATTACAGACAGTTCTGAAACATTTTATGTCTAACAATCTGATCCAAATAACTCTGATGATTTAGCAACACTTTCTAATGCTGGAAATTCCACAGTGAAGAATGTACAACAACACTCCCTAATGTTTTCCTAATATATCTTTGGGCAAAATACTTGTGAAATACAAATATGTAACATTTAATCTCACAACATATTTTATATTATTATGATTTGTGAGCCCAAATAGTGCATGTTAAGTAAATTAAGAAGTTAGGGAGAAAGATTGACTCTTATTCCTATATAGATTTCTCAATCAGAATTGTTTTATAGGCCAGGCATGGTGGCTCATACCTGTAATCCTAACATTTTGGGAGGCCAAGGTGGGAGGATTGCTTAAGGCCAGGAGTTAGAGACCAGCCTGGGCAATATAGAGAGACCCCATCTCTGTAAAAAATCAAAAAAAAAAACTAGCCAGGCATGGTGGCACATGCCTGTAGTTCTGGCTACTTGGAAGAATGAGGCAGGAGGATCACTTGAGCCTAGGAGTTTGAGGCTGCTGTGAGCTATGATGATGCCACTGCATGCCAGCCTGAGTGACAGAGCAAGACCTTGTTTCAAAAATAAAAAGAGAAAGAAAGAAAGAAAGGAAGGAAGGAAGGAAGGAAGGAAGGAAAAAAAAGAATTGTTTTATTACCTGGAGACAGAAATATTTTTAGTTCTTCCCAAAACAATTGCAATTTTGCACTTGGGATTCCCAGCTCCTAAAACCAGGAGGAAAATAAGCAGAATAGATTATAAAAGGAAATTTGTGGTTTGACATTTCACCCTGAAGGTTCTAATCTTTCCAAGTTTAACTCTGGCAAAAAAACAAGTAAATAGGAAGAAAATCCTTGATTGATTAATATAGTAATGCCTATGTACAACACAGTACATCACCCAAGAAGAATGACTAGGCAAGGCCAAGAATGGACTCCATCGATGAAAGCTGCTGCACAAAAATAACCAGAAGTCAAAGAAGCATGAAACAGTTATAACCATTATAGCAAAAGGACAGCTGTCCTATTCATAACATTTCAGAATCAGTATGCTAGAAATGTGTAATTTTATATGTCTAATATATTTAATATATCCACATATATCAGGCTCTGATCCCACCACTTTCAGTAAGCCTAGTTCTCATTCATTGATTTATTAAGGGTCGGAAACTTGAAAATGTAAAGTTATTCTCATCTGAATGCAAAATTTTATCACAGTTCAGAGGTCTGTGGCAATTGCCCACTGGGGTCTCCTTGCAAAAAGTACATTTCATGTTTGCCAGTAAGTCTAAGCATCTAGTCCCTCAGGGAAACTACTATTTAACTGGCTTTCCTATTACAAAGCCACAAACAACTAACTGGATCAGATTGGATTAAACACATCTGCACAAAGTCTCAAACAAATTATCAAATTCTAGTTCCTAATTCCTTATAAAAAGAGGTTCCAAGAGGTTTGAAATCACATATTTATTAGCACCATGCTCTAACCAACTGAACTAACTGGCCACCGCATTGAAATCACATATTTAATGAGAAATGTTAGAAATTATGTCAAATAGTTGAATAATAACAAAGTCCCAGGAGTTAAAATGATAAACTCCATGGAACATATTAAAGGACATTGCAGGTATATAATCAGTAAAATCCAGATTGTGGGAAATCTACAAAACAATCCAGATTCTTCAACAATTAAATTGCAACAAAAAGAAAAGAGAGAGATAGAGGGGTATCTTATACCTGCACTCCCCAACTCCCCCCCCCCCCAAGGACCTGTACCAGTCTGTATTGGAACTGGTCTGTTAGGAACTGGGCCACACAGCAGGAGGTGAGCAGCTGGTAAGCAAGAGAGCAAAGCTTCATCTGTATTCACAGCCACTCCCCTTTGCTCACATCACTGCATAAGCTCCGCCTCCTGTCAGACAGATCAGCAACAGCACTAGATTCTCACTGAAGTGTGAACCCTATTGTAAACTGCACATGTGAGGGATCTACGTGGCGCGTGCTCCTTATGAGAATCTAATGCCTGATGATCTGAGGTGGAGCTGAGGTGGCAATGCTAGCACTGGGAGCAGCTTGCAAATACAGATCATCATTAGCAGAGAGGTTTGATTGCATAATAAATGTAATGCACTTGAATCATCCCCAAACCAGGCCCCCCCATACCCCCCACTCCGGTCTGTGGAAAAATTGTCTTCCATGAAACCAGTCCCTGGTGCCAAAAAGGTTGGGTGCTGGCTTATAAGATTAAAAGAAACTTTTTAAAAGGGATATCAACCAAGAACAATTTTTAGACCTTACTTGAATCCTCATTCAATCAAACAAAATAAAAAGTATTAATGGCAATTATGAAACAATTTGAAATTTGAATACTTATTGTATATGTAATGATATTAAGTAATTTTAGGTATGCTAATAGTATTGTGGTTATATTTTTGAAAGAGCCCTTATTGAGATACACACTAAAATATCTGTGAAGGAAACAATGTGATGTCTGGGGTTTATTTCAAAATAGTATGGGGAGAAGAGGGAATGGTGGTAGGAATAAAGCTAAATTGCCCATGAGCTGAAAATTGTTAAAACTATTCAAAGCGTTTTCTTGGGAAAACTCAATGTGTAGCAGGGATATGAAGGAGAAATATGCTTGGTGTAGTGAAATGTCTAGAAACAGCTCACATAACTGTGAACATGAGGTGTATGGGAAAGCAAAGCCCGGAGGAAAGAGTTGAATTAACTCTACAGATTGAGAAGGGATTGGGAAGAGGACAGGGTGAAGAAGCAGTCCTAGGAGAAAGATGATTAGGCAAGAAACAGAGACCAAGGCAAGCAGAGGTAAAGAACCAGAAGAGAGGATAAAATTGAAGAGTTAAGTTGGAGAGAAGGGGTCCACTTTAAACATCAGCACTTACATTTGAAATTTTGAAACTCCTTAGAGTTGAGCCTCTGGCTCTGTAGAAGAAACAAATGAAATAGAATATACAAATACAGCTCTTGTAGAGTTTTCAGTCTATCTGAGGAGATACCAAATAAAAAGAGAAAACTATACAATGGAAATAACCTAAAATTTCCTAAAGTTCAGCATGGAAACTGAGCTAGTAGCTTTTCTAAAACCAATTTGGAGAGATTCAAAATGGCAGAAATATGTGTTTGCCTCCTATTGCTCATGAAATCCCATTGAAATAAAAATATAAAAGTGCAATCAAGGCATAACTATACCAGAAAAGGCAGCAGAGGTCAGGCACAGGATGGGGGGTGCTGGGGACCACAAACAGATGAGAGATTCCAATAAATATCTGGGAAACAGGTGAAGGCAAGTTGAACAATGAAATTGGCAAAGAAGTCAGTGTCTAGAAAACGTTGCAAGGAACTGCAAAGGGAAAGAATTCTGGCCTCAGAGTCAGAAAGTTTGACTGAGAAGTAAGGCTACAAAAGAGGGATAATCAAAGATTTATAAGGAGGCAAATGCAGCAGCTGGCATTCTTAAGGCAAGTATCTGGCACTTAGACTGAAGAAGAAGAGTATACAGTATGTTAAAAGACTAGACTAAACTCATTCTGATACTTGGGGAGCTATAGCCTGAAAGCTAGCTTCCCATCAGCTGACTCTAAAGTGAATCCCAGTCATGCTCCTCCAAGAGTTTTCTTACAGAATTCCTTCGCAGGAAAGAAACACAGCTGGAAAAGAGTTCTATATTAATAACAGAGAAAACCTCAACCAGCTACCCTTCCTTTTCTCTGAAGTCCGAATAGAAAACCAAGAATCTGTAGCATGTGAAAAGAATCTGCAACATTAAAGAGAATGACTGACCAAAATAAACTGGAAAACTGACCACAAAAGAATAAAACAAAACAAGAAACAGGGAGACTGTAAAAACAACTGTCACAGAGGTAAAAGTCTGAGAAGGGGCAAAATGTTTTACAATTTGTCTCTTTAAAACCTCCACCCTTTTTGGGAATTAAAACTTGCATTCCTGCCCAAGGCCAGTAATCAAAGGGACAGAAAAATATTCTTTGTTTTCTAGTATCTTTAACCACAGGAGATGGCTCAACAAAATCATACAGAGGTCACAAGATCCTCTTCACTGGAGATAAGGTCAACCAAAACCACCAACACAGTTAGACAACAATAGCCCAAAGCCACAACATGTGACACTGGGCACACAGACCCAAGCCTAACCTCTGAAAACTCCCCTTTAAAAAGTCCTGTATTTCTGCTTAAAGGCAGGATGGGGTCTTTTGAGACGCTAGTCTGCCGCCCTCCTCATTTACTGGCAAATTAATAAACTTCTCTTTCCTTTTCCTCAAACCACTTGTCCTCATTCTTCATTCTCATTGATTTGGTCTCGGAGGCAAGTACCAAACTTTTGGTAACACAACAACAATGACAAAACTGAGCTAAACCAAACAAAAACTCTAGTGTAATATGAGAGATACAAATGTATTGTAGCCATAAAACCAGAAAAGTATGCTATGAAACAGGAA